ACTGCGGGTAACGCATCCCCTACTGCGGGTAACGCATCCCCTGCAGTGGGTAGCGCATCCCCTGCAGCTAGTAACTCTGTTCACACGCTGTTTTGTGCGACTCCTTGTTCCCCCGAGCTCTACAGCGGAGGTGTAGAGGGGGGAGTTATCATATCATTAATGAGAAGTACAGCAGGTAGAAATCAACTGGAACTGGAGTTACGTCTGGATTAAACCTGGTCTTTGCAGTTTGATTGGCTGCCTTAGTTACAGTTTGTCCCCACAGTCACAAATCCTGCTTCATGAGACAAACCTTCTCCTGATAAATGTGTTCATCTCCAACAGAAGCCTCAGGAGGAGGAGGAGGAGGAGGAGGAGGAGGAGGAGACGCTGGTTCTGGACTTCCGAACACTCGGATGTATGATAAAGTTTACTTTGACTCTGACTCAGAGGAGGAAGACACAGCCGGTAAGACAAACCGGTTTTCCTGAATGTTGTTTAAATACTTGTTCAGGATTATTGATCAGAGTTCCTAACGGTGAACTTTCCTTCTCAGGAAGCTCCACCGGCCGGAGGCGGAGACAGCGGACAATCCTGACCAATGACGAGCTGCTGTACGACCCTGATGAGGACGACCGGGACCAGGCCTGGGTGGACGCCCGCCGGAGACAGTGAGAGGACAGGTTTCATTCAGCTTCCTTTAAAGCACGGACCCTAGACGAAGGTCGCTGAGCCTCTTCTGTTCCTCTGCAGGTACAACAGCAGAAAACGGCCAGCGTCAGCGCTTCGCTCGCAGCATCGGCGTCCTGAGGGTTTACCGAGCAGCGACGCCATCCTCAACTGTCCCGCCTGCATGACGACGCTCTGCCTCGACTGTCAGAGGTGACAAACCTGTTACTACTCAGCTGTAGAGAGATGTTCCACCATCAGTGGAAAGATGTTCCACCATCAGCTGTAGAGAGATGTTCCACCATCAGTGGAAAGATGTTCCACCATCAGTAGAAAGATGTTCCACCATCAGTGGAAAGATGTTCCACCATCAGTAGAGAGATGTTCCACCATCAGTAGAAAGATGTTTCTGTTTTATATTTTGTCTAAACCTGATTTCTCATGTTGGTGATTGTTTTTTTAAGCAATCTAATGAAACAGTCAGTAAATTAATTAGTTGACTGACAGTAGCTCTGATTTAGTCTTTTCTCTATTTTTGTTGAGGTAAACTGAATATTTGTGGCCTTTTTTTTCTTTTTTTTTTACATTTTAAGGCTGAACATGTGAAACAATAAAAAGCCAGACAGTAAAAACTGTGGCTTGCAGCTGAGAAACTGCTCTGAGCTGATTTCTGCAGCTGAAGTTGTGAATCAACAGTTTTATTCACTGTCATTAAAACCAAACTGACACTTTGTGTCCGTTCAGACACGAAAAGTACCGGACGCAGTACCGAGCCATGTTCGTGATGAACTGCACAGTGAAGAAGGACGAGGTGCTGCGCTACAAGACCCAGGAGGACAGGAAGCAGAGGAGGAGGAAGAGGAGGAGGGACCAGAAGACGGACCAGAAGACGGACGCTCCGGCGGACGAGACTCCCGACCCGATGCCGGCGGGGATGGACGCCGACGAGGTGTACCACCCGGTGCAGTGCTCCGAGTGCAGCACCGAGGTGGCCGTGTTCGACAAGGACGAGGTCTACCACTTCTTCAACATCCTGGCCAGCCACTGCTGAGACCAGTGTCTTCATCCTCCCAGTTTGTTTCTCAGCTCCGATTTAAAGCTGCTAAAGTCTAGATTTTTATATGAACAGTCCAGAGCTGAAGCAGGTGGACACAACCAGCATTGAATAAACGCTGCTGTTGCTCTGCATGACTGACTGAGACGGACTCTGTCATCCGATCTGCATGTTCTCAGCAGGTGTTCCAGATGTTCCCCATGGCTCTGAGTGATTCCACCTGCAGATTAATAAACCAACAGAACCAGAGGAGGTCACTGGAACCGGCTGACTTCTGCTGAGAGCAGAGCAGCTGACCATTCAGAGAATAAATCAGCTGCTAGTCCAGAACCAGAACTGTTGAGGAACAGAACCCAGAGCAGGTAGCTGCTGTTTCCAGATGATCCAGATGTTGGTTGCTGAGCTGAAACACAAACTGCTGGTTGTACAGTTTAAACTCCACTTCCTGTCCAAAAGCTGAAACACAGACGACTTGTTGGCGTCAGTCAGTTTCAAACCGACTCCCAGTAGAACCAGTCCGACCCAGCAGCCTCCATCAGGCCGGACTAGTCCAAGTGGTGTCAGCGTGGGGGAGGTCACAGTTGGTCTGTTCCTCCTAAAATAAAGGATTAATCCATAACTTTCCTTTTTATGAAAGACACACCTGAGACTGATGAGATCCACCAGAACACCTGAGAACACCTGAAGACCTGCAGCCGTCTGCACACAGCGTTAAAGTACTGCCTGTTGCTGGAGAGAATCCTGCTGTGGCCAATCAGAGTGCACGATTCCCTCCATCAGATCCATCTCCTCAACGCTTCAGGTTTCCTGATGAGGAAACATGATGTCTGAATCAGGAAAGCCTCTAAATGTCCAACAAAACCTGGGCTTCGAGTGTGAACAGGCTCTTACTGCAGCCCTGCTGGCCTCGGTTCTGATAAAGGACGTTTATAAAAATCTGATCGGACTCTGTGTGGATTTTCTTCCTTTTTTATTTTTCTCCATGAATATATTTTTTAGAAAGTTTTAAATCATGTCATCTCCAAACATCAACCATTTTTGATTTGCCTGAAATTGTTACAACCTCAAATATGCATTTTTATAAAGTCCATAAAGACTTATTAGGATGTTTTCTTTTAAATCAGCCGTCGACCCATTTTAAGCAGATTTATTTTCACACATTATAGTCTGAGGCTGTTTGAACAATATCAGGAACTATTAAAGATAAAAACCTGAAGTGTTCCTGCTATTTCTGATCGTGTCATTGATTCTGAATCGACTGGACCGTAGTTCAGATCGGTTCTAATTATGAGTGAGTTGAAATATTTAAAAAACAAAATGAAGCTGTCATGAAAAGTTCCACCTTTGAGCACATTAACAACAAAAAAGACTGATTTTAATACTTCTAAAATGAAATATTAGGTCATAAAATAAAAAGAAAGTTACGTTAGTTTAACTTTCATATCTGATTGAGCAGAATCTTCCGATCAGTGACCAACTCACTCTACCACCTTTTTGATTTCTTTTCTTTTTTAATCTGTTTTTTTTTTTTTTTTTGGTTACTGACATGTAGCCCAACAAGGTGCATAAAACCGACACATTATTCAAAGAGGTAGAAACAATACTGAAAGGAATAAAAGCACAAAGGAAACAAAAACTCCAATAAAGTCAGAAAAGCCTCTCTGATAAGAGCTTAAGAAGGGACTTGAAGGAACTCCAGGAGTCCACGGGTTCATCCTACCAATCCTCAGCACCAAAAATTAACATTTTCAATAAAATGTAAAATAAGAAATAAAAAATGTAAATACCAATATTTCAAAACTGTACTTCAGCAGGTGTACTTAGTGCAGCTGACTATATAAACGAGCTCCACCTCCTCCAGGTGTGCAGGTACAAGCTGCTCTGCTTTCGTCTAAACTTTAGTCAGGAGTCGCTCACTTCCTGCTTTGCGTCACTCTGGAGCGCGGAGCTGTGATTGGCTGGACCAGGGCACCTTCTGATGCGACGTCACGCAGCGGCTCCACGTCCAGACCCGGGGCGAGGAAACGGAGCTCTTTAGAAGTTCAAGTCAGACCGTCATGGCGCTGGGAGACTGTTGGAAGCAGCTGTCCTGGTTTTACTACCAGTACCTGCTGGTCACGGCCCTCTACATGCTGGAGCCCTGGGAGCGGACGGTGTTCAGTATCCTTCACCGAGTTACAGCGCCTCAGGCGGGACGGCCGAGCTAGCATGCTAGCTGTAGCAGAACGTTAGCGTAGCCAACCTAGCTCAGGCTAACCTTGACTTTATTGTGAATTAACACAGTTTAAGTAGTTTTGTATTCACCTGGTCAATCGCTTCACGAATGTAAGAAGGTTTGTAGGTATTTCGGCGTGTATATCACGAGCCAGGCGGCGTCTGTCTGCGTTTCGAAGAAGCGAAAGTTTTCGCCAGTAGCTAGCATGTTTAAAGAACGAAACGTTTTTATAACAAAACCGTTTCTTTTAAAACGTTTTAATGAAAGCCGAATTAAAGAAGTACCCAAACCATTTGGGTTAAAATGAAAGTCCTGTTCTACGGACTGTCTGAATGAACCTGTGAGTGAAGAACCGGTAAACACACGAAACCTGCTCTTGAGTCTTGCATAGCGAAGTCGAAACTGCTTCCATGTTTGTCGGAAGAGAAAAAAAGAAAATGTAATAACAGACATACGTGACAGCCGAATTATAAACGTATCACTGATAGATTGGAAAAGTCCGACGTTTGTCTTGTACTACTCCTGAATCCTTTTCTTCGGGTAAAAACTGTTTAAAGCGAGAGAATTGTTAACGGAGTGTCGCGTGTAGAAGCGTGTGGGCGGTGTCGAGGCTACGCTAGCTCCTGATCCACCAGTCAGCTGATCAGCACATGCTGGTGAACGTTGCATGTGTACGAGCTTTTCATGTCGTTCTAGAAAACATGAGGTCCAGTTTGACTGAGGAGAGCTTCACCTTCACAGAGCTGCAGTCAGTCAGTCATTAAATGTTGTTCCGGCTGATCTGAGGTCTGTGCAACAGGACACTCCTCAGAATCACCTGATGTACCTGGTGGATCGGCTTCCTGCTGCTGCTCTGTGTCTTCCCTCAGGCTCAGGTGTGTTGTTGTGCTTGTGTTGACTGTCAGCTGGTCTCTTCAGATGTTCACGGTCACTGAGCTGCTCTGGACCAAACCGCTCGCTGTTATTCAGTCTAACAGCAGGTACACCTCCAGCTCTGGTTATTCATGATTAGAACGTGTCACTTTTAGCAACATTTAAACAAGTGAGAAAGATAAACAGATGACTGAAAACATGCTTATCGAGCAGAAGTCGTGTTAATTTTCTCATAGATTTTGGTGACTCACTGCTGGAAAGCTAAAGTGTTCACCTGGATGCCAGACTCACCTGGCTGGCTGCTGTGGTGATGAAATCCAAAATCTGGAAACACGATGAGGGATGGAGAGAGTTTTACTACGACTCCTGAGGTCTGTTGCAGTCAGAAACATGCCGTGGGGCTCGTGCAGCCGGTGGTCGATTCAGAGGCGTGGCTTTACCGACACTTCTCAGGCTGATGTGTTTTTACATTTTCTGCATCGAGGTAGTTTGCCGTTGTTGTTCCAACGTTTGCTTCTAACCGTCACCAGCGTGTACAGGACTGTTAGTGGTGTGAGGAGGAGGAGAAATGTTTTGTGTGTTGGCCTCCTGAACTCGCCCTCAGACTCGCTGCTCATCTCCGTCGCTGCCATGGCTGTCTACACCGGGTACGTCTTCATGCCGCAGCACATCATGGCCATCCTGCACTACTTCGAGGTGGTCCAGTGACTCCGCCCCCTCACCTGTCTGCCTCCGGCTCACCTGTCCATCCACCTGTCTGTCCGCCTGCTGTCTCCTGGTTTCAGGTCGTTTCCGGCAGAACTCCTCTCCTCTAAAAGCTGATCCTGAGGACATGTCGGACCCTGAGGCTGTTTCCCGTCACTCACAGATCTGTGACTCTGGATGAAGGTGCGCTTGGTTTTCCTCTCTGAATCAAACGCACCTCGCTGTTCTGAAGATGTGTGGTTTATGGAGTTGACTGTGGACCCCCGTTTAAGGGCCAAACATGATCATTAGATGCTTCACCAGAATGTTCAGCCACTTTTAAATCCTGCTTCCACACAGACTGTAATCTGAAATCTGTGCACACTTTGATTTTTACGTCCTACAAAATGCCGTCATCCGTCACACGCTGACATCAGCTTGCTGAACGGACTCTCAGACCAACGGCACCAAGCTGGAGGTTTGTTCTCAACCAGACCTGTGGCTAAACATCCGAAGCACAACCTTTTTATCGGCGCTTTCCACCAAATCTAACGTTTCCTTCTGCAGAGTTTAAAGATGCACTCAGTCGAGCGAGTTTCCCTTTTAGAGACGACGTTATTTCTGAAGCCAAGTCCGATTCTTGACCTGAAACTTGGACGCTGAATTAAACACATACCGTACGCAGACCGCTGCTGCTTTAAGGTGAAGCTTCACTTCAGTATTCACTGTGTCGTAGCTTTAAAACATGTGACGGAGCTTTAACACGTGAAGCAGAAGCCGTTTGTGAGTTCACTGACGGTTTAAACTCTGGATCAGACGTGTGTCCTGAAGGTGCAGCTGTTGTAATGAACAGTCTGCAGTTAGTTTTTCAGCCATAACATGCAGTAAACCAGCGTCTGCCTTTATCCTCCTGCTGCACGTTACTGCCCTGATGGAGCAGAGTCGCTCCAACATGAAGCAGCAGCTTCATCAGAATCTGTTCAGGCCCAAACACTTCAGGTGAAAGTTACACAAAAACCTGGATGTTGTCTCAGAGCTTTGCTTTGTCTTGCTCCAGAGTTTTATAGTTTCAGGTCTAGACATGAGTACTAACCAGAGAGGGAACCGTCACTCGTCTGCAACGTCTGAATATTGTTTATATTAATGTTTCCCTCCAAACCTCAGAGCTGCTGCAGCCGCATCAACAGAAACGTCTTTACCTGGAGTTTCCCAACCTGTTGGAGAGTTTCAGCTCTGTGGTCCAGTAGAACACGTCTACCAGCTCTGGTCCTCTCTGAAGCTGAGCTCAGCATTATTGTTAAACCAAAGTCCCAGTTAACAGCCTGACTGTGAGGAGAACCTCCGTCTGACAGGACTCTTCTGCTCCGAGGAGAACTAAAAGCACTTAAAGCAGGTTTATCAGTTGGCTTTCATGTAGTCAGGTGTAGTCTGATGGACATCGGAGACCACTGATCAGTACAAACACTGGGTTTGATGATGCTTCAGAGGATACATCTCCACATCTGGACCAAAAAGACAACATGTAGAGCAGATCAGTCCTTCAAACTGTAGACCTCCAGACATTCCTCTCATGTCCTCTTCACATCCTGTTCATGTGCGGTTTGTCGAGGATTCGATGTGAAGGTTTGCAGCTCATCACGCTAACCAGATTCACGACCAGTCCTCTCACGTTCCCTTTAAGCACTCAACGGTTTCTCCAGATGAGTTCCCCTCTGGTGGCTCGGTCCGGACGTCCTCTCACTGCCGCTGCTCTCTGGGACTCGGGTTCTGTTTCCCTTTCAGCAGTGTCTTCTTCCAGCCGTGTACATACTCTTGTATACATATTTGTAAAGTTTTGTAGTCGGCGTATAGGATGAACTGTTTATGTTTTCTGTGTGCTGCTGATGCTGATCCTGTTCTATATAACTGAAATCATTAAAGGGATATTTCACTAAGCTGAGCTGCTTCCATTCGTCTCATTTAAAGGCTGTTCTCTTTAGTTCTGCTGGAATCGAGTCCAACATGCTGCAGAACATCCAGAACAAGGAACTTCCCTCATAAAGTCGTGTCTGTGTGAAACGTCTGGAATCTTCTGTATTTCTTCCCTTCTGGTCTC